GAAAAAAAATATAATAAATTTTTTTCAAAATAATACTTATTTTGCATAAAATACTAGTAAAATATTTGTGAAAATTTTTGAAAATTTTGACATATGCAAACAAATAATATAACTAAATTCCCTCCCCCACACTTATTATCAACATTGTCACCAATGTTGAACAAAACAGCACAGAAAAAGGGTTATTGAATGAGAAAAGGGAATAAAAGAAAAAGAATGGAACAAACACACCTTAGGTTGCCTCCCAAGCAGCGCCTTGGTTTATCGTCGTTGGCTCGACTTATGATATTTCTTTAAATTTCCATCGCCTTTTTGAATACCTTCGATGATTATGATTATTCAAAGAAATAGCCCCTTCATGCAGATTAGGACTCAAAGATGATTTATTATTTTTTTCTTCTTTATTTTCATTAGAATCAATTTCATCAAATGTAACAAACTTCAAAGAATCAACAAAAATTGCAAAATTATCATCACTAGGAGATTTCATGGTATCATATATATTAACAGCCACAAGTTTACCATTAGACTCCATTGTAAGCATACCACTATGAATATCGATTTTTGTTTTTGCAGTTTTTAAGAATGGCCTTCCTAACAAAATATGATTATTATTTTCCATATCAAGCACATAAAAATCAGCAGGAAAAACCAAGTTATTAACTTCAACAATCAAATCCTCAATCACACCCCTAGGATATGTAGTAGATCCATCAGCCAATTGAATTATTATACTAGATTTATTCAGGGGTCCAAGATTTAAAGAAGTATAAACAGAATATGGCATGACATTAATAGAAGCTCCTAAATCTAACATAGCATTTTCAAATTTCACCCCACTTATCATGCATGGAATAGTAAACATACCTGGGTCTTTGCACTTTTCAGGAAGATTGCTTTGACTAGCCATAGAGACATTCTCATGCACTTTCCTTTCCTCAACTCCTTTATTTTGTTTATTTTTCAATGTGCATACCTCTTTTAGTAAATTTGCATAGCGAGGTACCTTTTTCATAGAATCTAAAAATGGTTTATTGCTCTCACATTCACGAAAGGTCTCATATAAATCGTTATTTGAGTTTCCTCTTATTGGTTCTAAAAGAGCTTGAGGAAATGGGGGTACTGGTTCATAATCAGAAAAAGAAGAAAGCTTAACATGGGACGTCTCTTTATTATTGACAATGTTACCTGCACTTGTTTCCTTGTCTAAATCAACATTCTTTTCCAGCGACATACTTCTCGCAGTAATTGCACTTACATTTTCTTTTGGATTAACCACCGTTTGAGAGGGTAGTTTGCCAGAACTCTGTGCTTCTAACCGACTTACCGTAGTTGCTAGTTGGCCCATTTGTCTTTCCAAGTCTTGAATACTAGCCTTTGTTTCTTGAATACTAGCTCTTGTCTCTTGTTGGAATAGTTGTGTTGCTTGTTGAAACTGCAAAGTGTTAGTAGCAAGAGATTTAACAATATCTTCTAAATTCATACCTGAGCTAGAGCTTTGGGTTGGTTGTTGTCTTGAAGGAAATGGTTGTCTGTACTGTTGAAAGTTGGAACGATTCTGAACAAACTGGTTCCCTTGTGAGTTCCCATAGCTAAGGTTCGGGTGATCCCTCCATCCAGGATTATATTTATTAGAAAATGGATCATACTTACCTTGAGGTTGTCTAGGAAAACCTCCAGCCATGTTGACTTGTTCAATAGGTTCTTCTTGAAGAGTTGGGCAGGCATCAGTTTGGTGCCCAACTACCGAGCAAATTCCACATGCTTTTACAGTTTGCATATTGCCTACTGCTAATTGACGAACAAGAGTAGTTAAACCAGTAATTTGTTGTTCAAGAGCAGAAATATTTACCTCATTCACTTGCTTAGACGGTTGGACAAGTCTATTGCCAAACTGTTGAGAATTTGCAGCCATGTTTGCAATTAGAGTTCTTGCAGCGTCTGGTGTCTTGTCAACTAAAGCACCACCGCTTGCGGCATCAATCATGCTTCTATCCATTGGAAAAAGTCCTTCATAAAAGTATTGAATGAGTAATTGATCACTAATTTGATGGTGTGGGCAGCTTGCACATAGTTTCTTGAAATGCTCCCAATATTCATACAGGGACTCTCCATTGTTTTGCCTTATACCACAGATTTCTTTCCTAATGTTGGCCGCCCTTGAAGCTGGGAAATATTTTTCAAGGAATGATGTCTTTAAGTTATTCCATGTGGTGATGCTCCCAGAAGGTAGATAGTATAGCCAATCCTTCGCTGAATCTTTCAACGAAAAGGGAAAGGCTCTCAACTTGATTTGTTCTTCAGTAACCCCTGTGGGTTTCATACTCGAACACACCACATGAAATTCCTTTAAGTGTTTGTGCGGATCTTCACCTGCAAGTCCATGAAAAGAAGGCAAAAGATGAATTAACCCAGATTTTAGTTCAAATTGTATATTAGCATCCAGAGTGGGAAAAGTAATGCATAAAGGTTGCTGATCCAAATTTGGAGCTCCAAGCTCTTTTAAAGTCCGATTTTGAGCCATGAGTTCCTCTTCTAAATCAGAATTGGTAGAATCGGTAGCCAGATCACTAAACTCCAATTTTCTCAAAGCTTGTTTCTTCCACCTGCGTATAGTTCTTTCAATTTCTGGATAGTACGGCAAGAGTTCTTGATTAGCAGATCGAGTTATAGGCATAAACAAAAAGAAAATATATTTTGATTTGCAATTATGTAAAAGTAATGAAAGAAAAGAAAATTACTACTTTTATTTTCGTTTGGGACAAATTGAAAAACAAATAAACAAATAACAAAATAAATAATTAAATAAATAAACAAACACAAAATAAGCTAGAAAATCTCCCCGGCAACGGCGCCAAAATTTGGTGAGCTGTCGTAGGCTCCCAAATTAAAACCTTACAAACGTAGTAGCGGGAGTAAGGATCGATCCCACGAGGAGTAACTAGTTTAACTTTTGTGCTCAAATTAAAGGTAGGGGGTTTGGAATATATCGAGAATAAAGATAAAATAAACGAGAATTTAAATAAACAAGAAATTTAATTGAATGAATAAAGCAATGAAAATAATATATCGAAAACACTTATAATAAGAAACCTTGGTTAGTAAAGATCCACCACCGGAATTCAACACTGATAATTGATTAATAAAGTAATTAATATGCAATTGAATATTTGTCGTGAAATTATTTCCTTTCTGTTTTCCCTTAGTTGTAGGTAAATAAAGCACAAGCGGTTTAATTACCCCTAACTACTAAATAACCTAAGACAAGCGCTATAGATTTAATTTAATAGCAGCAATAGGAACTAGGAAAACCGACAAACTAAATAACACAAGCACAAGCGGTTGCATTTAATTTAGGAAAATATTCTACCCGAGTCCAATTATCACTAAGCCGTCAATAATTAACCCAGTTGCTACTGAATATTAGAATAATTTGTAGCACAACATTATCTAATATAGCAAATAATTATATCAAGTAAATAACTAGTAGGCCTCCCTAGCAATTAAATGATACAACTATTCAAATAACTTAGAAGAATATTTAATACCCAAATGCATAAAAATTATATAATAAAAATAAATAAATAACCTTACAGCGTTATGAACTCCGGGGCTTCAATTCACTAAACCAACTAGAAATTAGCCACAAATGGACATTGATAACAACTTTAAAGATTAATCGAGAAGGGAAGAATGAACATTTTACAATAAGAAACTTCTACTATTTATAGCATTCTAAAAATAAACCTAAACTATTTCCTACCACTTGTTTCCTACTTTTGTGCCATATGTTGAAACTCCTTGTAATAATGCCTTGGAATAGCTCCCATTGACTTTATTTTTGCTGCTGCACCATACGTTTTGTTAGGAAAGCAAACAAATTAAAATATTATATTTATTTATTTATTTATTTTTTTACTAGTAATACGTAATATATATATATTAGTATGTATTCTTATATATTATAATATATATATATATATATATATATATATATATATTAGTATACAGTACGTAACATATATATATATATATATATATATATTTATATATTAATTATTATATATATTATATATTATATATATTATATATTATATATTATATTATATATTATATATAAAAAGAACTAATTATTAGATAATATTAAATAACCAATGCAAAATTATTATAAAAATGTACCTAAAATATGAGTGTAAAATGTGCATATCAAATTCCCCCACACTAAGACATTTGCTTGTCCCCAAGCAAAAAAAGTTATTTGCGAAGTAAATAGAAATGAAATTCCCAAAACTCATAACATATCATGAACAACAATCTGAAGCACCCTGCAATTAATAAGAAACTTCTACTATTTATAGCATTCTAAAAATAAACCTAAACTATTTCCTACCACTTGTTTCCTACTTTTGTGCCATATGTTGAAACTCCTTGTAATAATGCCTTGGAATAGCTCCCATTGACTTTATTTTTGCTGCTGCACCATACGTTTTGTTAGGAAAGCAAACAAATTAAAATATTATATTTATTTATTTATTTTTTTTTTTACTAGTAGTACGTAATATATATATTAGTATGTATTCTTATATATTATAATATATATATATATATATATATATATATATATATATATATATATATATATTATATTATATATTATATATTATATATATTTAGTATACAGTACGTAACATATATATATATATATATATATATATATATATATATTTATATATTAATTATTATATATATTATATATTATATATTATATTATATATTATATATAAAAGAACTAATTATTAGATAATATTAAATAACCAATGCAAAATTATTATAAAAATGTACCTAAAATATGAGTGTAAAATGTGCATATCACTCGATTGTATGAAAAATAGGGGTGTTACACACCAGGTTTCTAAGGGCAACAATTCCAAGGTATGCAATCTCAACCTAGACCCCCATTACACGCTTTGGAAGCCCTACCACAACCAAACTTGAAAGCCATGATGAGCATGATGCTAAAATCTCAATTGCAAAGCGAGGAGATGATCAAACAAGTGTCTGAGAGGTTGGATCAATTGAGTGGCCATAATAAAATGCTAGAAAATCAAATTGCTAATCAAGCCTCAACCTCTAGCACTAGAGTCACTGGGAAGTTGCCCGCTCGCCCCAAGAATCTAAGGGAACATGTCAATGAAATTGTCACTAGGAGTGGTAAGATACTTGGAGAACCATCTCTTCCAATTGACACATCAATTGCAAGTAAAATTGTTGATGTGGAGATTGAGGAGAAACTTGAGGAGGGAGAAGTTAGACCAGCTGCTTTGAAGCCAAACCAACAAGGTATGAACCACCATTGCCATTCCCTCAAAAATTGCAAAAATAAGTTAATGAGATAGTAGGCGGAGAAAATTTTTGGAGTTAGTAGAGAGTTTGAAATTATCAATTCATTTGCTTGATTTGCTTTCTCAAGTTCCTTCTTATGGAAATTTTTTGAGGGATATTCTTGCTAAGAAGAGAAAATTTGGGGAGCATGAGATTGTTGCTATGACTCAAGAGTATCAGGCATTGTCTCATGATGAAGGAAGGAACCTGCGTAAGCATAGAGATCCGGGGAAATTCACAATCCCTTGTGTTATTCGTGGTTGTACAATCAAGAGATCCTTTTATGATCTAGGAGCCATTGTTAATATCATGCCACTATCTCTTTGCCAAAAGTTGAAATTGCGAGATTCACAGCCGGTCCAACTTACATTGCAATTCGCAGACCAATTTACTAGGAGCCCTATAGGAATTTTTGAGGATGTCCCAGTTCGTGTGGACAAGTACTTTGTGCCATGTGATTTTATAGTGATAGATGTGCAAGAAAATTCCGATGTTCCAATCATCTTAGGAAGGCCTTTCTTAGCCACAACTGGAACAATAACTGATGCAAGGAAGGGATCCATGATTTTTTATTTTGGGGAAGAGAAAGTTGAATTTGATGTTCATGGTGAGCCAAAGTCTCATAATGTTGAGAATTGTTCTATGGTAAATAGCAAGCCCTTTGTGCATCTAGATCCCAGTTTTGAGATAGCACATAAGAAGCATGTAAACTGGAACAATTTCTTCGGTGTAGAGGTGAATCTTGCGGATCAACCTGGATGATCACTCCATAATGAGGTTACGTCGAGCTAGCTGCGTTAAACTTAGCGCTTCATGGGAGGCACCCCATGTTATCTTTCATATTGCAATTTAGTTTATTGCCTTTTATTATTTTCATCTTACTTTATTCTTTTATTTAGCATATTTTAGTTCGTGTTATTTTTATTGCTTTTTATCTTTCTCTTTTCTCTTGTTCTCCTTTTCTTTTGTTTTGCATCGAGGACGATGCAAAATTTTAAGTGTGGGGGAGGAACCAAAATTTGGGGTAATTTTCAAAAAGTTTGCTTGGATGATTCATGTTATTTTTGTTAATAGGTTACATGTTATAGCATGCAGTTACAATTCCTCTCTCTTGTGGGTTTATGGTTTGTTTTGATGGTACTTGTTGCAATTCAATTTGTGATTGATGATTTAAGGTGTAAGATATGATTGATCTATTCCCTTGCCAATAGCTTTGTTAACCACTGAATAATTGGATTAATTCTTGATCTTGTGTGTTTTGCATTGCAAGTGAAAGCTGATGTGAGATTCCGGTCATGGGTGTTTTGCTAGAACTTGCCTCAGTACTCCCTAAGCGAAGTCTAATTTTTGCATGTTTTGAAGTGATTTAGGCCATTTTTGTTTAGCCCATAGCTTGTAAGCCTACCATTATATATGTTTTTACCCCTTGTGTCCCCTTTGAGCATTTTAATTGTTTAAATAAGTGCTAAGCACGTATCCCATTATTGTGATTGTTTTTCTTTGTGTTAACCCACATCAAAACCCTGGAAGGGGTCCGTTTACTAAAAGAAAACTGTTCTCTGTTTTCGTTTTATAATTTCTCAGTTTTCATTCTCAGTTTTTTGTTTAGAAAACTTGTTTACTAACATAAAACTGTTCTCTGTTTTTTTGTTTTCTAATTTTTTAGTTTTCACCTAAAATTTAGTTTAGATAATATTAATATTTTTGAGCTAATATTTAAAATATTTTTTTTTGGATATATTCATTTGAATGACATGTATATGAATATATAACTTTTACTTTGAATTCTAATATATGTGAGATTTCAATATCCGATATCTAGACCGAACTTGTATTATGATGTAACATAATTAAAAAAATTTGAACTAATAATCTATTGAGTTCAATCAAAATCTAAAAAATTATATAGAGTTTAATTCTTAATTTTGATAATGTAAATAATGTCTAACTTTAAAGTGTAAGAAAATAAATTATGTTTAAATAAGTAAGGTAAGTAGAAAAGATAGAAGATAGTGATAAGTAAAATAAGATGATAATGAATGTAATCATAGTAATGTGGTTATAGTGACATATAACTAAATAGATGATAGATGATTCTGTTTTCTATTTTGGAAACAGTTTTTCAGTGTCTTTCAGTTTTTCAGAAATTTCCAGAAATTATTTTCAGTTTTGAAAATGGAAACTGTGTTAGTAAACATGTTTTCTGTTTTCTATTTTCCAGTTTTCGGAAATTCCCAGAAATTTCCAGTTAGTAAACGGCCCCGGACTTTAGCCAAATGTTTTCCCCTCCACCCTTGACAGATTGAAGCTTTTGTCTTTAATATTCTTCTAGAAGAGATCTTTATGGAGTTTGTACCTAAAAGCAATTTTTGTTACAAATGTTTAACTGTGGGGGTCTTAATTGTTGGTTTAAAGTTGGTTTCCTTGATTGTTTGTTCAAAAGAAGTCCAAAGAAAATAATCAAAAAGAGAAAAGAAAAAAAAAATAAGAATAAGAGTTTGAAAGTTTGTTGTTTAGACCCCCACTTCACTGGAATGCTGCTTTGTTCTTGAGTTGAAGTTTGCTCCTTGGGTTGTTATTGTCTTATCTTTTATAAAGCTTAGAAATGATGGATAATTGTGATATTCTCTCCTTTTGTGGATTTTCCTCACCACTTAGCTTCTTTCTTAGCCATTCACCCGTAGCCCCTTACAAGCTTTACAAAGACCTATTTGATCTTAGCATGTAGTCTTAGAGTTGAGCCGGTGGGAGTATTAAAGGCAAGCCTATGGGATCTCAATCAAAGCCGTTATTTGCTTAATCTTAACTTAGTATTTGTGCACACTTGATCCTCATGCACTTTAATAATTTTGGTGCTTGGTTATTGGCTTGAGAATCGGTCTTATGTGCCAAGTTGATATGATTCTTGAGGCTTGTTGTTTTGTGGCAAGTTGGTTGGTGGTATGATTGTGCAAGAGAGAATAAGAGGGATTGTTGTGCTTGACTTGTGATTTATTCAATGGTTTTGCTTGAGGACAAACAAAGGTTTAAGTGTGACAGAGTTTGATGTGAGCCTAATTGTACATGTTTCTTGTGTTAGTTTGAATATATTTGTTGGGATTAAGTTCATGAAATTGATACTTTAGTGGCATATTTCCTTGTTTTATCATTTAGATATGGTTTACACTTGTTTTGAATGTTTTACGGTGTTTATTAGTGTTTTGGAACCATTGTAGGTCTATTGCAAAAGCAAGGGAAGTTCTAGGACAAGTTTGGAGTCAAAGTGGACCGAAAGGTGCGTACACAAAAGATTTGGCGCGTCGAGACGTCCCAGTAAGTAGCTGAGTAAATGATGCCTTAGTTCGACGCGTCGAACGGTCTGGATGGGCCAGGTCTAGTTTCGCGCGGAAATTTCCTCTTTTTCCCTCAGCTTGGTTGCCGCTATAAAATCACGTCTTTCTCAACCCTAGAAGATTCAAGCTGTGTTTTGGAGACAAGAAATAAGAGAATTAAGACCTACAAGTTGTCTTGCGAAGAAAGAAGAAAGCTAGGGAGATTTGAGAAAATCACTTGGTTTATTCTTGTACTCTCTTTGATTATTTGTAAACTCTCTATTATTGTTATTGATTCTATCTTAGCCCTGCGTGGCTAAGTTACTTTAGAGATTCTTGGGTAAAAAGTGTTTATGAACCTATGTGCCTATTTCTCAGATTCTTAATGTATTAATATTTGGGTTTTATACTTATGTTGCAATTGTGAATTATATTGTTGATGCTTGTAATTAGTGGCCATAGTTACTCGTTTCATAGCTATCTTTGTGTCATAACGGAAAGTAGGCATAATTTAGGACACACACATAATTGCACTTAACTGTTGCACCTTAGGAGATGGCATATTTGTTAAGGAATTAATTCTTGATTATTGCACATCGGGAGATGGTAGTAGTTAGGAATTTATTATGAATGCATGTTCTTATATTGTTGAGTACTTATATCACGGAAGTGAATATTCACTTGTTTTAGGCTAGAGTGTACGAGAGTAACTCTTTCCATTGTTGCATTCTCACACTTGTTTAAACCCGGATTAAATATTGCACTTTAGATTGGCACTAGGCGATTAAACATTTGAATCCCAAGAATCTCATTCACTCTCTATTGTTTTCACAAACCTGCTACTTTGCTTTTAAATTAGTTTTAATCAACCATCCATGTCTTTCATTAGGATTAGCTTCAAACGAATAGATTAGTAGGTAGTGGTTGATACGCCCCACTTCCCTGTGGATTGATAACTAGGTACTCCGAGTAATTATTTGTTTGCGAAATATACTGCAACCACACCTCTTTATCCAGATCTGGCGAAAACCTTAAACTTTAGATCTTTGGAACTACTGCAACTTTCTTGAAAGGTTGGTGGCTGAATCGGCAGTGACATTTATTATGAAACAAAAAAACAAAAAAAAAAAGAAAATAGGAAACCGCTGGCCAAGAAACAAAGCTCTGTCAAAGGCTCAAAACTTCGGCCAGAGGCCAGCGTCCACCAGCTGAAGAAATTCCCATAAAAGAAGCAAGATTTCGTGAGATAGATAGAGTGGTTTCGGGAGAGTGAGGCTCCAAACTGCGTGAACATTTTTGGTGTCTGGTTCCTTTTACATTTCTTATATTGTGTTCTTTATTCTTTCTAGCGTAGATCCTGGAGCTAGTCCAATTTTAAGTGAAATTAAAATTGAGTAGGAACCTTTAGGAGTTTGCCTGCATTCAAGATCCACGATCTTTTTCAATTGGTATGGGAGCCTGGGGACTTAAAATATTAGTCTAACCGATCTGGCTTTCTCTTGTTTCTTGAACTAAAGACGTCGTTGTCTATTCTTTATTCTGTTTTCCTGGTTATTCTGTTTTTCCTCACTGTGCGTTGAGTCTTGCAGAATGGAACGACATAGGCCACTTCCTGAACTGACATGTAACAACTATGCGTACTGGAAAACCCGTACCAAAATGCATCTACGAGCTCAAGGAGAGAGGGTCTCGAAGGCGGTTCTCACTGGGTGGACTCATCTTACCAAACCTGGAGCCACTGTAACACCCCCTAAAAACATGCTATAAAAATCCTTAAAACATGCAGATGACGGAACTAAACAATCAACACAGCGGAAGTCTGAACTATAGATAGATAGGTAAAGTCTGAAACACAGGGTGTTACGCTACGTTCACCATAATGATGAACGCACAGGCAATATCTGCAATGTTCACAACTAATCCCATAAGTTCAAAGTTCTACATCTACATTGGCACACAGACCACAAAACGAGAGGGGAATTCTATTCTAGCAAGTACTAGACCGCGTGTTCGCCTAGACATCACCTGAAAGAACACAATAAAACATGGGACGACGCCCGGTCAGCGAATAATGCTGGTAACCCACCAATACATGTGAAATATCGTACATAAGTAAGATATAAGTTGTAAAGCCATTTTCAAAACGGAATATATATATATATATATATATATATATATATATATATATATATATATATATATATATATATATATATATATATATATATATATATATATATATATATTAGTGCAAAAACCACGAGTAATAGTCAACACAAGACTCAACACTCTCAACAATAACACAGGAACACATCCCAAGACCACAAGGAACAACATGACTCACAAGAAGAGTCAAAGCATGATCTATGATCACTCAATATATCAAAACCCAACAAGCACAACGCAAAGGAATAAGACTCACCGAACGGCAACACATGCCAAGGCAACACA